TGTTTTTTAAAGCGTAAATAAAATGTTTTTTTTTGTTCTGAAAAATAGGAGATGTCACAGATTTACTATGAATTTTACAAAACAATGACATATTGTGCACATTCATAACTTTAATATACTTCCTGTTTTCTTTTATCCTACATATTGTGTCATTAATCTTGTGGATTTAGTGTTTGAGTTCCCAACATGTTAAGTTCTTATTAATATCATAAGAAATGCTTTAAGTATAGGGAAAAGGATTCAAATGGATAACAATATCAAAACTTCACAATCATATAGACAGTGGTGCGTGATTGGTTTTCGGGGTCTTAGGGTTGTTTCCGACCATGAAACACCTACTATATGGACCTAGGGTATTAGAGACACCTTATAGGATTTTAAACTAAGAAGATGAATATCCATAACCTGTCCATAATAACCCCATACATAAATCTAGGTTTTGTGGATACATGGTGGTTTTAGATTAAATAGATGTTTCTTTAGGGTTCTAAATGGGTATGAATACATTAGGGACATATTAGAAGAGTTTACTTGCTTTCTAGGATCATAAATCACACTCAAAAGCCCTGAAAATCTCCCTTTCTCTACTTTGTTTCTTCTTGGCAAAAAAAACTTCACTTCTTGGCCTTTCTTTGACTTTTGTAGGACTTTAGGGGAAAAGTAACAACTCCAAACTGATAGGGATTATATGGTAGAGGGTTAGGAAGGTTTTAGGAAAGGTAGGGTAAAAATCGTGGCCATAATCGGGAGAAATCATGGTCTAAATCGACTTGGGTCACAAGTTATAGGATTTTTCACTTTTACTCCCTCAAGTTTGGCTATTGTTGTATTTTCCCAAAATCTCATTTTTCTTAACATTTTTGGTCCATTCCAGGTATTACACCTTGGTTCCTAAACTTTGTTTCTTTTTCACTTCCTACCCAAAACATAATTTTCCTTACAAACCTGATATTTTCCTGAAATGATACTTTACCCCCTCAAGTTTTATACTTTCATATTATTCTAATTCATCCCCTTCAACTTGTTCAATGTTTCATCTTTTGCCTTTCTTTCCATTTTAAATTTACATTTTGGATTCTTATTAATTGTAATTTCTCTTTATTAAACTTTTTAATATTTACATAACCCCTCTAATTTATTTAATTTATTTATTAAGGCTTAGAAATTTATTCTTAAATATTTACTTATTCCTTTTATTTATTGAAACCCATTTTCTTTATTTTATAATCCTATAATTCCAATTATGCTATACCAAGATAAAAAATAAATAATACTATATTTATTTAGAAAAATAAAAATGGGGCGTTACATAAGTTTTCTGGCTTTTTCATCCCTTGCCACGTCTATGGTCATTTGGTGTATCCCCATGTGGGTTCGAAGTAGTGAGTCTGTGTTATGGATTTAACAAGATTGGGCATGGTGTAATAACATGTGTATATGATTTTATGTGATTAAACATTAAACTACCTTTTTGTATGTTTCGTTGGTTCAAACCTATATATATATATATATATATATATATATATATATATATATATATATATATATATATATGCATGGGTCAGATCCTTATATATCTCACTAGGATCCCGAGCCTAACATACTATTTTGATGTGTTACACGGGTGATTTTTGTTAGGGGATGCTTAGCGATGTTTGAGAGTATAGAGGCCTTAGACTTTTAGCCATTGTGTTATGTTCGTTATATCAGGCAAGCTTTTACTTGTGAGTTGATATACACACATTTGACATCCCATGAGTTTAAAATGATACTTGTATACAAATTAAAATGTTTTGAAAACTAGGAATTTCCACTATTAAAAATACGATTTGTTTTAAAATTGAGATTAAATTGGTTTTAAAAATAACCAAAAATAAGGGATGTCACATCCTTACCCATTTTGCATGATCGATATTACCAAGTCAGACACATTCAATATTGAGTATTGTATATACACATCTTTTGTCATATGTTAAATAAGTGTTAGAGTAAATTACATCTTTTGTTCTTGATGTTTGTATCTAAACTAAAGTGTCTCATGTGAAGATAATGGTTGCAAATCCCTTTGCTTCTTAGTTTTAAGGCAGTAAATATATGTAGTTTAATTTGCTATCTTCTATTCATATTATTGATGGTTGTGTTTGGTCTAAGAATTTACTTTCATGGTCACTTCATCATTCAACTTTTCATCTAAACTGTAATATATGAAGTTTTCTTAGTAAATTGTACCTAGAAGACTAAGAACAATAAATGCAGGAACATTTTATATGAAAATGTGGAAAAAATGAGATGGTTTTGTTGAAGCTTGGTCAAGAAGAGATGTTGTCCGATGAAATATGTGAGAGAGGTATACAAGCAAATTCCATGGCACTCTCTTCACTAAGTTATGAGTTTTTAAACAATCATATTCAAAATGTATGATAAGGTGCTTATCATTATTTTACAAGGGACTCTTGAGGTTGAAAAGGGCAATTGAATCAACCAGTGTAAATGTGGGATATGCTAGGATGAGGGTGTGGGTCGATGTATCTGTTTGTAAAGGATATTATGTAAATTGTAAAAATTAAATTGTTATATATAGAAAACAAACAAGTTTTGATATGAATTTTAATTTATTATAAAGATTATTGTATATTTGTTTTATAGTTTTTTTATATAGATGTTTTGTCTATAGTACGATATATTACATAGGGGCACTATTTTTCTCCAAGGGCATGTTATAGTCTACCAAAATTCCATTCAAAATCTGACATTGTATATGATTTGTATGTCAGCAAGAACAAAGATTTCATTAGTATACTTCCACCAATCCTAAACTGCAAACTTAAAGCTACACTCTTACAACAATACTCATGACATGAATATGGGAAGACCTAGCCAATTGAAAAGTCAATCACAATATTCGTATTGGTTATGAACGCTATTCACTAGTATTCTTAAGATATTTCTTTTAGTGTTGGTTCTGAGGAATTATATATTTTAAAAGGCTCAAAGCGAGTCGGAAAAAAAATGACCCTTATACTTATTATAAGTTTTTATTTTTAAATAAAAATATATAATAAAAAAATTGGGCCCTGTGCGACTGCCCACTTTGCCCCCCCCCCCTCCCCCCTCCCCATGATTTCTTTAGCCTCCGCATGAACCAGATACAAGAGTCGACACCATCCGTCACGCCTAGATAAAACGTTACATACAGGGTCTAGTTGTTTCCATCCATAGTAACCACTATGAAAATTAACCTTAGCTAGTCCATTCTCAGAGGGACACTCCCTATAAAGACCACTAAGATCACCGTAGAATATATACAAGGAATGCATTAACTTATATTTATTTGCCACATCAATTGTAACCAAATTAATAACTGGAAATTAATAGCTAAGATTTGACAAAATGTTTCTTAGCACACATCCAAGAGCCATAAGAGAAAGCTGAAAACAATCCATAACATCTGATGTTGGTAAAACTATGGAAGTTGTTTTTTAAGCTTATGCAAGTAAACATGGAGATTGTAAAAGTTTTTTTTTATGATCACGATCTGAGTAACCCATTTTTATAAATTCTAAAATACAATTACAAATTTTTTTTATAAGTGAAAGAAAAAATGATGGAAAATATAACATATGTAGTGTAAAATAATTTGAAATAAGTGTCAGAAATATGTGTCTGAAATGTACTTAGAAGTTACATATGGTCAACATGTCCACACTAGGGATGAGATTTAGAACCGGAAAACTGGACCGGAACTGGAACCGGAAGAACCGGAATATGTAAAACCGGTCCGGGTCCCGGGTTTAAAGAATGGCTCTATCCGGGTTCCGGGTAATCCGGGTTTCGGGTCCTTCGGGTCCGGGTAAACCGGGTTTAAGAACCGGAATCGTGTTAGGAACCGGAACCGGTTTCTATGGAAAGTTTAAAACATGCATATCTCATTCGTTTGAAGTCGAATTGGCATGAGGTTTTTTCCATAGTATAGTTTATAGTTTTTACATGATTTTCGACTATAATTTTGTCATTTTTGGGTTTATATTCATTGACTTATAGTCTCTCAAAGTCGGGATATCAAAGCTGGAAATTTTATGTTTTTCAGCCTTTTTTTGTATTCTGTGATAGTTTTAAAACATGCATATCTCATTCGTTTAAAGTCGGATTGACATGAGTTTTTTTCCATAGTATAGTTTATAGTTTGTACATGATTTTAGACTATAATTTTGTCATTTTTGGGTTTATATTCATTGACTTGTAGTCTCTCAAAGTTGGGATATCAAAGCTGGAAATTTTATGTTTTTCAGCTTTTTTTTATATTCTGTGATAGTTTTAAAACATGCATATCTCATTCGTTTGAAGTCGGATTGGCATGAGGTTTTTTCCAAAGTGTAGTTTATAGTTTGTACATGATTTTAGACTATAATTTTGTTATTTTTGGGTGTTTATTCATTCACTTATAGTCTCTTAAAGTTGGGATATCAAAGCTGAAAATTTTATGTTTTTCAGCTTTCTTTGTATTTCGTGATAGATTTAAAACATGCATATTTAATTCGTTTGAAGTAGGAATAGCATGCGGTTTTTTCCAAAGTGTAGTATAGAGTTTGTACATGATTTTAGACTATAATTTTGTCATTTTTGGTTTCATATTCATTGATTTATAGTCTCCCAAAGTTGGGATATCAAAGCTGCGATTTTTTTTTCTAAGCTTTATTTTTGTATTTTGTGAAATTTTAAAACATGCATTCGACCCACTTTACCCGATTCCCCTGGTTTTTTGGTTTTAGACCCACTTTACCCGGTTCCATTCGACCCACTTTGATATTTCCAGGTTTTCCGGTTCTAGACCCACTTTACCCGGTAACTTACCCGGAACCGAACCGGAACCGGTTCCTATATACCGGTCCGGTTTCCGGTCCTAAAAAATCTCGTTAACCAGTTCCCGGGTTTTCCGGATCCGGGTCTACCGGTCCGGGTTTGGACCCACTCTCATCCCTAGTCCACACATATAGTATGGAATGCTGAAAGACAATCCAAAATGTAAGTCTGACATATGACAGTACGACGTTGAGTCTGCTAGTTTGGAGTTGACTATGTCATGCCATAATGTACTATGTCAAATTCACGGACAACTTTACGTCAAAAGTCACCCAACCCACGGTAACTCCGGAATTGATGTAATTACTCCGGAATACGGTGTTATGAAAAAAATATTATTTTTATTAATAAGATTTCAATTTCCCATATAAATTAAATATATTATTATTTCTAACCCAAAGGTTTAATTTACGTATCGAAATATAAGTTATCTCTTTTAACTAAATTTTCCATTTTTATATAGTATCAAAATAACCGTTTTTTTTTTTCCAAGGAAAATATAAACGTTTATAAAGTATTGGTTGATATTTGGAAGCAGTTTAATGCATTTATATCCTTTTGTTTTCATAATCCACTTTTTTTAACTTTCGATAATACAAGATACGTAATCTTCTTCAATTCGAAATCTAGGGTTTCACTTCATTGATCTTTCAAGCTTTCTTGTTGCGTTTCTTGTAAGCAGTTCTGCGGATCTGAATTCAGATCGTTTGAAGATGTTTTGGCGTATGACCGGTTTGTCCACTGTATCTCCGGTAAGCGCTTCATTGTTTTTTGAATTTTATAGCTGCTTATAAGCATCTCTTTGAACTGTAGTTTAGATTGATCAGCATTTAAACTAATAGCAAGTATGTGCCGTTGATGTGTTTTCTTTCTTTTCTCTAAAGCCCTACATATCGTGAAGGTGTTCATACTTAGCCATTGAGTTTTCTTGGTATGATAGTGAATTCCCCTTTGGTTTTAGGTTTATAAGGTTGGACTCATTTGAAAGGAGTTGCATCTGTTTGTATAAATGAACCAATCGGTATCTAATGCAATAGTGTGATTGAAAGAACCTCAGAATGCGAGCTGTGTAATTGATCACATTTGATACTCCATGGAAGCATAAATTAGAATCATGTCAAATTTACACAGGGACGCTTTTGGACCCTTGTATTCGTTATTGATCTGGAGTAATAGAAGGAGGTTTATGTTCTTGTGAATGCTTTCAAATTCCCTAGGGTTTTAGAAGAGACTGTGTACTCATACTCTTGAGGAAGCCAATACTGCATTTGAATTAGCTATCTCACATGTATACTGATATATTGCAACATTGTCCTCTGGTGGAGGTATAGTCTTGTAACAGAGTCACTCCCTTAGAAGTGTGTACCATGGCCTTTTGTTCCCTTTGACATGACCTTATATATAGAGAAAATAAACTAGCACGAGTGATAAATTGATAACCTGTAAGATCTTCTAATCACTCATTTTACTTGCATATTTTGGTTTGCTTTTGTAGTTAAATGAAAATGAACCAACCATATAGTATGGAGTTTACATATAATGGACCTGGATGGGTAATTATTTTTTTCAAGTAAAGAGAAAGCTTTTGGTACTCAGCGATTGATTTTATAATTTCTGTAAAGGAGTAATTGCCCTTTGTTAAAGAATCATCAGTAGATAATGACAAAACAAGAGATCTGAGTTCATCTGATATATCTATCCAGATAAGGATCTGTGATTATACTTGATTATTAGTTTGAAGTTTTATATCTTTTGATATGATTTTGCACCAGTGGGATTTTCTTAAATCATGCTGATTTATCTTTTTGATGTACTTAATACATAATATTCATCTAGTTGCTTGTGGTTTTATTTATGTGGATTCATGCATACTTTTTGTAAGCTAATGGTTTGAACAAGAACTTAAAACATTTGACTCAGGACTTAGTTTTATAGAAGTTGTTGATAATGGGATCTAAATCACAAATGGGAAAAAAGTAAATTGGGATTGTAAACCTTCCAAAAAAGGAAAATCTGCATTTTCTGGGACAACCCAAAATGGAGTGTTGATTTATTGTTATTTTGTCTATATTTCTGCTCAACTTTATTAAACTGGGAAGATTTAATTTGCTGTAACTTTGACTTTTTATGGTCTTGAAATTAATCTTTTTTTTTTTTTTTTTTTTAATCCAGGTGGACACAATCTTGGATCAGGAAAACTTTACACTAGAGGAGCTTCTTGAGGAGGAAGAAATAATCCAAGAATGCAGAGCTCTTAATAGCCGACTTATCAATTTGTAAGCTAAAATGTTCTTTCTAATTCTAGCAACCTCTACCATTCATAACTCATTGGTGGTATTATTATTACAATTTACAATATTGTATATAGTGGTTCATATGCCTTTTATGTTCATTTATTGTCTAAATTACTTCTTGTTTTATTTCAGCTCCTTTAAATCTATTTGAGCACATCTTGGCTTCTTGGATTCTGTATGTTTTGCAGAGTAGGCATCTTGCTGCTATTTGCTGATAAACAAGGCTTGAGTCATTATTTAATAATCTAATAGTAAATGCAGCTTAGTGACCTTTTAATGCATTATAGTGATACATCCATATTTAGGTGCTCTTTTTTGAATTTTCTTTTGCATGGGGGGGAACTGACTCTTTTCTTGACTTATTCAACTTGTGAATTACTGAATTTGGTATTATTTGTTTCACTAATGCAGAGTATTTGTCATATAATGCTCTTAATCTTTTTTTTTTTTTTTTTTTTTTTTTTTTTTTTTTTTTTTGGAATTTAAATGTAAATTCAATTGCTGTTCATTGTAGCTTGAGGGAAAGGACTCAAATTGAACAGCTTTTGAGGTACATAGTGGAAGAAGCTCCTGAGGATGCTGCAAAAGGACGTGCTTTTAAGTAGGTATCCATGGGCCCACATGGAAAATATGTTTCTTTCATATTTATATAAATATAATTCACCAACATATTTTTATTTGTTTATATATTAGGTACCCGTTTATTGCTTGTGAGATATTTACCTGTGAAGTTGATATCATACTCAAAACCTTGGTAGAGGACGAGGAGGTAAAAAACCATTAGTATCTAGAATCAGAAAGTATTGAGTAATTATTTTTATTTTTACTATGATGATGATAATAAGTTCATTTCTTTTTCAGTTGATGAACTTGTTGTTTTCCTTCTTGGAACCAGAACACCCTCATTGTACCCTACTGGCTGGTTACTTTAGTAAGGTAAATTTTATTTACTTTTGTAAAAATTCATACTTCTAATTTTCCAATTTGATGTTTAAGATGAATGATCATGTGTTATTGTCTTATGTAGGTTGTTGCATGCCTATTGTTGCGGAAATCGGCTCCTTTAATCAACTACATTCAAGTTAGTTCCCCACATGAATTTTTTTACCCTTGAATATGTAATCATAATATTTTTGATATAAATCTATAATTACATAACGAAGTTGTTAACGATTTTGTAATCAGGCACATCCAGACATTATCCAAAAGCTGGTTGATCTAGTAGGAATTACATCAATCATGGAGGTGTATAAATTATAATTATTCTCTAACTTTCTATTCCTTACATTTTTTTATTTTTATTTTTACCTTTTTACCCCTGTATCTTTATCCCTTCTAATCGAAAATATTTTTACTGAACAGGTGCTTATTCGTCTAATTGGTGCTGATGAAAATCTCTACACCAGTTTTGCAGACTCAACACAGTGGTTAGAAGACATTGATGTGCTAAAAATGATTGTTGATAAATTCAGTTCTTCAGTAAGTTATCTATTTAATGTAAAGTTTTTACTGGAAAAAATATTGTTTCAACTAAAATTTGAAAACTCAAACTCTGTAAGGATTCTCCTCAAGTGCATGCGAATGCAGCAGAGACACTTTGTGCTATAAGTAGATATGCTTCCCCAGTTTTAGCTGCTAAAATATCCAGTCCAAGGTTAGTGTCAAATATCGATAATGCCCTTTAGTTTTTACTTTTTTCTATTGGCTGTTTGCAGCTGATCATCTCTACTTGTAATAAAAGATTGTTTTTTTTTCATGTGTGATTTTTCAGTTTCATAGCAAGATTATTTCATCATGCATTGGGGGAATCAAGGCCAAAATCGGTTTTAGTGAATGCATTGTGTGTATGTATATGTTTGTTAGATCCAAATAGACAAACATCTGCAACATCTTACTTCTATAATCGACAATTGATTCATAATTCATCAGTAACAACAAATCCAGAGATTGTGGAAGGCATGTTGGAGAGCTTAGGTATGTTAAATTAGTGAATAATTTCAAGTTTGTACCCTTATTTTGTAGACTTTTCTCCATTATTGCAGAATGGAATTTGTCAAAGGAATTATAATCTATCATGTGAATGGAATTCAAGTTCATTCCCTTGCTTGGTTTATATATTAAGAAAAAACTAAATTAAAATTTTTCCATAGAACCTAAACCTATATATATATATATATATATATATATATATATATATATATATATATATATATATATATATATATATATTTAACTTTTATACATGAAAAGAGAAGTTTGATAATTTTTGTAAATTTTATTTATAGTTAAATGTGTTTTTTATGTAGTAAGTATAAAAATATATAATCAGTTTTTCTCTTTTTATTTATCACAATATATATATGTGGGTATTTTGGTCTTTTATGTTCATTTATTATTTTGATTTTTATATATCAAATAATAAAAACTGCTTAGTTTTTTTTATTCTTTATTCATAAGTAAATGTATTTTATATAACATAAAAATATATATTTAATTTTTTTATTATTATTTATGATGATACATATGGAGGGTATTTTGGTCTTCTATTATATAAGAGAAGGAATGTAATTTAATTCCTTCCACCCAACCCTAGGAATGATAAAGTCCATTTGAAGGATTCCAACAGAATTGAATTCCATCCATTTGCAACCAAACATGCCATGGAAATATGGAATGGAATCTCGAATTCCGATTCCATGAACCAAACACGCCCTAGTTTTCTTAATGTAATAAATTGTGACATCCAAAACTTGTCTTACATCACTTAAGCACCTCATTTTCTCTTTACTCTTTTACATTGCAATTTAATTATTTATTAAACCATATCCTATCATGTCAGTTGATGTACTATAACATTCTTATTGTAGGGAATTTGTCAAAGCTGTTGGAAGTTTCAACAGACGAAAAAGTTTTACTAACAACATATGGCAAGTTGCAACCACCTCTTGGGAAACATCGCCTTAAGGTATCTTTGTCTTTTACAAGACTTATTAATCATTATCTTTGATTCTTTTCCATGTATATACCCTTTTCATTGTTGAAGTAGTAGTATAATATTAATACCCCATCTTGAAGTATCTTATTATTTTGAAACTGGAAATTTTCAGATTGTTGAGTTCATCTCAGTGCTAATGAGTGTTAGAAGTGAAGCTGCAGAGAATGAGTTGGTTCGCCTTGGTGTTTTAAGACGTATTTTGGAATTATTTTTTCAGTAAGTCTTCCATTTTTCCTCTCTCTCTCTCTATATATATTCTGTATTTATAATTCATATAACCTTACTTTATTTTGATGGCTTTTAGGTATCCATACAATAACTTCATTCATCACCATGCTGAACAGATTATAGTTTGTTGCCTTGAGAGCAAGAATGCTTCACTGGTTGAACACATTCTTGAGGACTGTAATCTTGTCAGGAACATTATTGATGCTGAGGGGAACAGTGCATCCAATACTGACAAAAAGATTGATATGGTAAACTTTTATAATCATTTTTTTAAGTTCAATTTGTGTTTTGTGAAAATACACATGACATTTTCATGTTGAATTTGGTGAATATTGTTTCAGCCAACAGTCCTTGCTGAAGGAAGAGTGCCACCTAGGATAGGGAATGTTGGACACATGACACGCATAGCCAACAAACTCATCCAATTAGGGACTCATAACACCTATATACAGGCACATTTGCAGGTTACTTTCTCCATTTCACAACTTTAAAAAAGTGCTTTCTTTATCCACACAACACTTGTCACTTTTTTTGTACTTATGTTTCATGGGGTTAGGATGTTTCTTTTTAGGGTCAAATTCAAAAAGTAACAATTTACTTTTATTGATTTGTGTATATTATATAGCATACTGCTTTCATTTCTCCCTATTACAACTTTGTAGTTTGAAAAATTCTACCCGATTGTAGCAATGTTATCCAAATACAAAGCAATTTTCACTGCTGTCATCGGGTGGATTTTTCAAAGTATAATGTTTTAATAAGAAACAAATTTAAAGTACAATGTCTTAGTAAGAAAAAAAGAATTTGTAAATTCAATGCTTTAATAGAAAGCAATGGGATTAGGATGCTATAATAGGAGTCTTTTTGTTGTATTTTGAAAATGTATAAATTTTTGACAGAATAATAGTGAATGGGTAGAGTGGCATGCAAATGTACTTGAGGGACGCAATGCACTTGAAAATGTCTTACAGTGGGAATGCGGGTAGGTATTCTACATTAACATTTGTTATCTATGTTGCATCACAGTAAATGACTATTTTGCCCTTCTGTCTGGAATTAATCGATTTACAAAAACGTTCCTTCACTTGTCCAAATCTACAGGAGACCTACACCACTTCATGATCCAAGTAGGGATAGTGATGATGATGATTACCATGATAAAGATTATGATGTGGCAACTTTAACCAATAATCTAAGCCAGGCGTTTGGGTACGGTTTTTATGAAAATGCTGATAGCAACGAGGTATCCAACTTTTTTATTATAATTTTGCTTGCTCAACTTTTTGCTACAAAGTTTATCCGATGTTATTTGCTTGTGGATATAAATGATAAATATTAAATAAGTATCATACATGTTAATAGAGTTATAGAAAGAAAGAAATAAAAAATACTTTACACGTGCATTTGATGAACTTATAAAGTGGAAAGTAGTATAGTTGTATAATATATTTTATAATAATATATGTTACTAAAGAAGTTTAGTAAAAAAAACAAACTAAATCGACTAAATTAAGTCGATGTACATGGTAGCACATGCTACATGGTAGTCTATGTAATTAAACCATGGATGATAGGTTTTGAAGATGAACAAAGGGAAAGAAATCATGCCAACATATGTATCACAAGAAAGGTCCAATGTGTTGACCTCAAACGAAAAATCAAAGAAAATGGAAAGAGGAGAAATGTCTGAAATGCCCCATAAGGTTCTTCATCATGGTCCTCATGAGTATCATCATAAGGGTGCTAATGGGAATTGTCCTAAGGCTCCTCAAAATTCAATACATCCACGAAGAATGAGTTTTGTTGACTTTGAACGGGATAAAAAAGATTTGATGAGAAAGAAAAGACTAGTTGGTGAACATATAGAAGATCTAAAGAGGGAGATCAAAAGACTAAAACGACCTTCCTCTAAAAGAGACAAAGAAGAGAAACCCAGAGGTTTTGTAGAGCAAGTTAAAGAGATTATATATAAAATAGTGAACCGAATGAAGAAATGACACCTATGGCCCACCACTATCTATATTAACTCCCTATAAAAGCACCTAAGTGAGTATATAAGTCATTTCAATACTCAAAAGTAGTCTTAGTAGAAATTGTGTTTAATATTTATATATGCCAACTTTTGTAAAGATAATACATATGAAAAGCCGTAGAAATGAAATATATGCCATCTTGTATAGTTTTTATTGGAAGGTCTAGTCCCCGCATGAGTGGAGGTATGACTGTCTACATATGTGGGACCCGTTGGTGGAGGGAATTAAAGGGTGGTGTATGCCTTAGAATGGAAGTTTAATTTTATAAAATAGTTAACCACTTGGGTTGATATGGTGGATAAACTATTGACCCATGTTCAAATCTTGGCACTACTCAGCTCCTGCGGCCATGGAGGTTCGTCTGCAGTGACTCCAGTGCATGAGGCATACCCTCATGTTTGCAACAGGGGATTAGTTGTTGCGTGAAAGCTGCCCAGAACCCTCGTTAGGGAAGTTCCATTTCCAAAAAAATAATAATAATAAAATAGTTTCAAATTTGTTTAGTGAAAGAGCGATTATTTAAAGGGTATAGGCGTATTTTAGTGGAATAGGAGAGAGGTTGAGAAAAGTAAGAAAAAAAGATTGGCAATAGTAGAAATTGAAATAAGAGGATAGAGGAAATTGAATTAAGAGATGTAAAACCCTAAGCTAAGGTGGTGTTTCTTTTTGACTTAATGGGGACAACACTTTATACAAATAGATATATAAGGGTGTTTCTTCTAGACTTAATACATACAAAAGTAGTGCTAAATTCATCCCAACAATTACCACATTCATCGAACTTATTAGTTCGGATTTGTTGGAGTTTGAATTCTATCCATCCATACAAACCCTGTTGGAAGGAAGGAAGGTCTACACTTATTTTGGTTTTTAGATGGGTAAGAGGGAAACATACATGTATGGATCTGACAGGGTTTTCCTACTCTTGGAGGTTTCACTGTGGGGCAGGGCAGGTTGCTTTAAAAGCTACCTCATGCAAAGTGACAAAGCATGAGAAAGCATGCATGGAAAATCAACACGTGTTTATACCATTCACGTTTGATACTTTTGGTTTCCTTGTGCCAGATGTTGTGGAACTCCTCAGTAGACTCCATCAGAGTCCACCAACAGGTCATGCATAGTAATGTTATGACCACAAGATCTATGGATGTAGTCTTGAAAAGAATTAGTTTTGTCATAAAGGGTTAGCAGTGCAGCTTGTTGCCTGTTTGACTACGACCTTGATGTAAAAATTCTTTTAAATTTGTAAACCATCAGGTAAAAGGAATTCGTCATTCCTTCCATACACATCCATGGAATGACGAATTCCATCAAAATGAATTCCATCGAAACATGTAATTTGGAGGAAATTACGTTATTAGGTAAAGGGAATTCATACTACTACTACTACTACTACTACTACTATGATAATAACATATTAGTATTATTATTCTATTGTAGTCATTTATTAATAATATTAATAAGTTCTGTTTATCATTATTTTCGTATTATTAGTATTTTTTTCCTTTTATTTTTAGTATTTTCGTATTATTAATTATATTATAATATATTATAGTCATTTGTCATTGTTATTATTATTATTAACATTACTAAAAAAAGTTGAAGCTTTTTATAGCTTTAATCAGCCTTCAAAAGAATAGGCGAATTAAATATACATCAAGCTTTGCCACAAAATTCTACAAACATTTTAATTGTTTACAATGAAAGTTTAGGCACCAAAGCATGCATTTCATGTGTAGAATGTGAAAAACCTAGCAACAAAGGAAAAAGGGAAAGCTATTTTCTAGTTGTAGGTGGAATGAGTTGTAATTTTATTTTATTGTTTTTTAATTGTCATCATATTAATATGCCACATCACCAAATAAGTTAACAAAAATTAATTTTCTATTAAGAGTAGCAAGAAAGTACAATGTTATTTTACAATAAGGGCAACATGTACTATGGTTCAAAATCTAATTTACTCATTAAATAAATGAAAATCATACGTCTCACAACATATAATATACATTTGTATTATTAGTAGTATTATCTGTGTTTGTACATGTCTATGGCCCTGTTTTTGTCCCATTAAGTGTTGTATGGATAAATGATTGTTAAAAAGTATTTGAGAAAATGACATCACACTTGGGAAAACAAAAAAATTTGTTAAAATTGAAGTTGTTCTTTGTGTATTATGTAAAAATGAAACACTTATATTAATATATGAGATTAAATCATGTCCTCTTTAAGTCCAAAAGAAAAAACACCTTATTCTCACTTTTGTCATTTATCATCATTACTTGTAATATCTGTATTCTTCAATAGTCTTTGCTTTTTTTAGAATATTTTTATTTACAACAAAAAACTTTGGTCGCCTTACAGCACAATTTAAATTTTATTTTATTTATTTTTGTGTTCTCAGGCTCATGGCTCAATGGAAGGAGATGATGAGGTATGTGTTTTAGTCTTTTATTTCACAAAGAAAAAAATTGAAAGAGAAGAAAAGGGAGTCAAGTATTGAGGATATCTTCCTTTAATTCTTTGATAAATAATAATAAAATTATTTGGGTTAATTGTGCATTTTATTTTTTTTAATAATACATGCAATAAAGTGGTTTTTCTTATAGTTTCATTTTAAGATAAAAAAAATATGCAATATTTTACATGTAACCTGTAGAAACATGGTTGCATATAATATATTGGTTGTATATATAGGGTTAATATCATAAAAGACCTTATATATTGTGTTTTATCCTGATTAAACCTCAACTTTATATTTTTCGTGCATTTTTCCATTTTTTTTATGTGGCCCTTTTAGCATTTTTTTCCTGAATAAACTTGTCCAATGTGAGGATTTTTTTCAGAAAAAAATAAATAGTTGAGGTTTTTTTCTCGGAAAAAATGGAAAATTGAAGGTTTTTTTTAGGGAAAAAAATAAAATAAAGGTTAAACTCGGAAAAAACGCAATATGTGTGGTCTTTTATATATGTTTTGGTTTTGTGACATGAAAAATAACTGAACTTTGCAGGATGTGTATTTTGATGATGAATCTGCTGAAGTAGTCATATCTTCACTTCAATTGGGAGATGACCAAGAAAGGTTTGTTAATTATCTTGAATTATATAATTTAGAGCTGAACACAAGAAAGACACTTTCATTTCTTCATATCCTATCGAAGCATTGCAATCAGGTTGACTTTTTGAAGTTCAATGTCCTAATAGAAAGTTTAATATACAATGCTATAATTGGGTAGGTTTTTAAAGTGCAATGCCTTTCAAAGAAATAAAAAAAAAAGTTCAAAATTACATTACAATGATGTAAAGAAAAGTATTAAAGTATAAGATGCTATATTAAACAAATATTTAAAAGTAGGGAAATATGCAGAAAAGTCTCATTATTTTGGGAAAATTCTTAATAAAGTCTTAAAAAAAAATTTGAACAGAAAAGTCCCATTTATCTAATATTTTGTCCAAATTAACAAAAAAAGTCTTTATTTTCTTTTTAACAGGAAATGACAGATTATCATGTAAAACTAAATAATCGGGACTTTTCTGCTCAAAAAATAATAATTTAGGACTTCATCAAAAAAGTTCCCAAAATAATGTACGCTGCTATTTTTCTTTATTTTTGCATTTAGCTCAATAATATATTCACAAATGTTTCCTATTGCCATGTGTTGGTTTCTGGACTATGATATCTATATGATTATTATTAGACAAAATTACAGTTTTGGTCCCTCTGGTTTGACAGAAATGGAAAATGGTGGGTTAGATGTTTTTTTTATAATTAATAAAATATTATTTTAAAATTGGAAAAAAATAGAACAGGGTAAATTAGTAGTTTCATATCACTTTTGTAACAAAATCAAACCACGAGGACCAACCTCGCAAGAAACGGAAATCACAGGGACAAAAACTGTAATTTTGTCTTATTGTTATAACTTATAACAATAGTTGAGTGAGTAAATGCATGAAATAGTGAAAATACATTGTGTTTATCTGTAATTCTATACTCATCTAAAAAGTTAGTTTTATTAAATGGTCAAAAAGTATATATAATATTATAATGTTTTAATCACTAGAGAAAATAATTAAAATGATTTATTTGTTGAAAATTTTATTGCAGGGGATCTCTTTTTACAAATTCGAATTGGTTTACTGCGGATGAAGAGGTGGTTTCCGAATCATCAACTAATGCCACCTCACCTCCACCTCCACCCACCACCGAGGCGGCCCCTGGCGGCAATGATGGCGGTTTCACACCGGAAAACAATGATGACTTGTCAGACACCGCCACGAGTTCAACCAATGATTCAAGACCCAGTGAGACCGATAAACCACCGGAACAGGTTGACCGGAAAGATTCCGGCGAACCAGGTGGCACCACCACCACCACCGCCACCGACCCTGCCAGAACATATCCGTTGAGCAGTGAACCTGAACCACCAAAGGTAGAGACTAGTGATAGGGGAGATGAAAGGGAGGCTTCATCTTCCACTGCCGCCGATGAAGTGGCGGCAGAGGGTGGCGGGCCGCCACATTCTGAAACACATACCGATGGTGAAGAGCAAAAGTAAATACTGTAAATTTTGATTTTTTGGTTTTGGTGGGGTTGAGTTTTACTAAAAATGTATTTTTGAGATTAGTTTTGGTGTACATTGTTAACGAAATAGGGATGACAATTCTTTACCCTTGTCTTAGGTTTTTTTTTACTAAATTGACGGATGGTCGAGGGGTATACTAGTCTTTTCTTAAGAAGAGGGTTTTTTGATATGTCAAATTCATTGCATACTCATACACGTTGAATATAACACGTTTATCGCTGTAGTATACTAGTATGGCTTGTTAATTGTATGATAAAAAAATGGTCAAATTTGTAGGTAAGTCATTATAAACGGCTATTTAAAAAAATGGATTAAGGAATTGACCGATAAATATTGCGTGACGAATTAATCAATTATTCAACGGCGAACCAAGGAAATGATTACTTGATGACAAGTATTGGACTAGAAGTTATAAACCAATTCATGTCAAAGGGCTCTAGTTTTGAACCAAACAAGCCAACTAGTTTCTCCAAATATGGCTCTATCTCTTGTCTCAATGTTTAGTTATATATTAATAAAAGTTTTATTTTTAACATTAATTGCAAATGTGTTTAGATCACAAGATTATTAACTAACACTAACAGACACGAACAAATATATTGTTAAACAAACAACACAAAAAAATTTGTTTCTTTATATGTTTGTGTTCATTTGTTTGTTCGGTTATACTTAAGCAAACAAACATAAACAAAACTTTTGTTTGTGTTTGGTGGTTTTGCCCCGGCCCTATCCTAGTCTATTCTTGTAATTTGATCTAACCAAGAAGATTAGTTATAATCAACTCTTTTAATAAGACAATATGATTAAATAACGATTTTTATAATCAACAATCCTCATAAAATCAAGTTTAAAATTTTAACTATAAAGCATATCTTATATGAGTTTTATTTTATTTTTATTTTTATTTTTTATTTTTTAGTTCAATATCTAATAATCAACCCAACAACTCTAATAGCTTTTTACCATCAGTAGTTTTTGAGTCATTTATAACAAAATCTTCTAAAAATGATCAATGATTATAGCTTTTGATTCAAGTATAACAAAACCTTTAAAACATTTCATAAAGACGAGTGTAGATTAATCTGAGGGCGGAGATGCTATTCTTTGGGGAAGAATTTTCGGATCCTGGGTTGATCTTGTCTTTCCTTCTCCCCAAGAGTTCCTTTAAGTGTCATTGCCCCAATAGGTGGCGGATCTCCTTTCTGAAGGTGAAGCAATCTTCGGTAAGATGTCTAAAATCGTCGTGGTAAGCACACCACTTAGATTTATCTTTCGATCATGATTATTTATCGTTTCTCTTGGGCCATCTTGCCTTGTCTACAAGATCATGCATTACATAGGGCAAACCTGAAACATGAACAAAAAAAAGTAGTCAAATATCTTGGGGTAATCTTCATCTTCCTCCTCATCTTCCAGAACATTAACCTTATGGTTCTCAGGCCTTGATTAAGGTTTAGCTTTGTAAGATTTGTGGGAGAAAGATTCATTCTTCCTGTTGGGATGATCGTAAGATGGTGTTGGCTCTCTTCTAGATCGTTTTGTCCTCTTCAAGCTTGATGAATGTTAGGGCTCTATTTCTGACTTTATCCAACTTCTTGCATGGGGTCATGGCAAGATCCTCGTAAAATGGAGAATCTTTCTTTAGTCCCATCTTGAAGGCTTCCACGACTGTCGCAACATCTAGATGTAGAATATTTAGGGCTTCCCTCCCAAACCTGTTAACATAATCCCTCAATGATTCATCATTGTCTTGGGTTACTCTGTCAAGGTCACTTGTTACTTTTTCAAAAGTTCTACTACAAGAAAATTAATTATTAAACAAGTTCATGAGATGTGAGAAAGAAGTGATGGAGTAAGGAGGAACGTTTAGGAGCCACTTTAGTGCAAATCCTCTAAGGATTGAACCAAAACTCTTGCATAGATAAGCTTCCTTAAAATGTTGGGGAATTGGAACAACCTCCATGCGTCCTCTATATTGGGCGATATGCTCTTCATGATCCGTGGTTTTATCATACATTTTCATGTTAGGTGTCTGGAACCTTTTTGGAACTTCGATGTCATAAATATGGGTGCAAATCTTGAGACCCTATGGTTGAGAGGTGACACCTCTGGTATAGGTTAAATCATGTTTGGCACACTTGAGATCACGTATCTCAATTGGCTAGTTCCTTCGCCATAGAAGACTTATCCCTAGATCTTGGGTATTAGAAGGGATGTTGAATATCCCTCCAAGATCTTAGGAATCAGGACCTCCCGAGCTAGTAGTTGCACCATCTGTAAAGATAGGCACCTGCCTTGATATGAAGTCTTCGGCTTGGCATTTTGAAGATGCACCAGTTTCGAAGTTCAAGATCATAGGCTGCAAAAATGAAGGCGGAGTTGGTGTAGTTTCCATAGGCCTTCTTGAGTCTGCACTTAGTTTCTCTATTCTTTCGAATAGCATCTTCTTGGTCTCATCCTATTCAGTAATATGTTGTTCCATCCTGGTCAACATAGAAATGACTTTGGTGTTAGACCATGACCGATATTTCTTAGGTTGTCCCTCCTGGATATTGAACTGGTGAAGATGTAGAGCCAGTTCTTCTAGGGACTTCGACACTACTCCTTTGTGGATTAACAACAGGAGGGGTGTGTGGGGGGGGGGGGGGATAGGTTTTGACCAACAAAAATGGATGGAATAGTGCTACAAGTGGATTTTGGTAAGGTAGACATTTTTAGTGCAAGTGACTAAAAATCACAGAAAAAGCTTTTTGAATAACCTCAAGAAAAAATATAATAACACCACTTGTCACACGGATGGCGCCAAATTGTTTTGGTTAAAAATTGAGAAACTAGTTTCGTAACCAAATTAGTGAGTGTGACGTGATGTTTAGAATACAGTGTTAAACGGTGAAATGCTTAAGATCTTGAATTATGTTGAACATCTTGGTTAAAACCAATATCCTGAAAAGAAAACAACAGTAGTCAGAGAGTTATTTAATGATGTTGTTTTGTTTCGAATCAAAGATAAGTATATTTGTAAGAATTGGGACAAAAATAGTGTTAAAGTTGTGAACTTGTTAAATAAAGCAATAATTCTTAAGATATTCAAAAACGTGCCAAGATACTACATAATATCTTGGTATTTTAGCAAGATTTCGATTGTAAAACCAAATAAATGATTAATTAAACATGTAAAAAAATGTTATAATTAACCAAATATCAGTAAGAAAATAAAAATAAATGCAAGTACAGAAAGATATACGAGGAAATCCCTTAATCCTTTTGGATCTCCGGCATAAAACCTCGGGAAGTGATAATATCACTGACCTTTGAACTTAAATTAATAAAAAATGAATTACATGTGCTAGTTGTAAGTGTTGTAAGTGTAATCGAGCTCAAGCATAATCAAAAAGAAGGTGAGAGTAGAAGCAAGAGCGTAATGGTGAGTAGTGGATCAAATAGGCTTTATATATACGTGTACATAAAAAACTTACCTAAATTCTAGGAATCTTCCTTGATCCATGCTTGACATGGTTTTTTTAAAATGAATTCAACGTTATTACACTATGACCACGTGTCTTTTGACATGACCTATTCCTTTCTAGTTAAATCCTTGATTCATGCATAAGAGATAACAAAAAACACTAGGCAGTCCCAAGATATTGACTAAATCCAAGATTTTGGGCTAACCAGGATGTTAGCATGTAACTACTAGCACGGGAGGTCCTGATTCCTAAATCCAAGATTAAGAGCCACCATTGTCCTAAACCCTAACCTCGAAACCCTAAGGCAATTTTGAGTGTTGTGAGCCATTTTGAGTTTTTTGTGGTGTGTTTAAAGCCATTGGAAGGAAGGGAAGCTTGGTAAGAGTTGGTGATACAAAAAGGAGCTGTTAGATCTCGAATCTTTGCTTCATTTTCGACACGTTTCTGGTAAAAAGTCTCAATCTTGCTTTGTGAATTCATAGATCTCCTTCTTAGAGTTCTTTTGCATGTTTTGCTCCAAATGGAGTGGTTGTTGGGAGTTGGACGTCCCATTTGGGCAAACCCTTTCAGATCTATGGTTCTATGGAGCTCTTGTGGCATAAAGGTGCCAACTTTATGGTCTTAAGGGCTCTATGCATCCATTAAGCCCTTATTATGGTCTCTTTTAAGCTTTTAAGTTCCCTATAGCCTTGCATGTGAGTAAAGTTGAAGACTTTACGTGACCTTTTAGTCTTTAAGGTCCATATTTGTGTTCATGGGTTCTATCTTGAAGATATGGTGGTTTTGGGATTAAGACATAAGCCTTTTTGGTTTAGGGTTTGAACTTAATGCCTTTAGGGTGGTTCTTAATGGGTAAAGTTGGAAACTTTACCCTTCTAGACGTATTTTCAGTCTAGATCTAGAAGATAGGGCTTCGGTTTGAAGAATAGTGGCTGAATGCATTAAGTGGGTTGGCTGATCGAAGAACTCGACGAGTTGGATTGGGTTTGTCCCGATTTTGTTGAAAAAAGGAGGAAATCGACAAATTAAAGGGAAACTCGGCGAGTTGGATCGAAATATCGCGATTCTGTGCTTAATGGAAACTCGGCGAGTTATGGGATAACTCAACGAGTTGAGTCAACTCGAAGCGTTGACTTTGACTTTTGACTTATGCTTTTGACCAAGTTTGTCCCAAGGAGTGTTTGAGGTAACCTGAATTGTATTCGAGGGAAATATGGGCTTAGGATAAGACCCATATGGGATCGAGCCCAATTTGGAAAATTAGGCCATTAGTGGGCTTTTATGGATTTTATAGTTGTGGGCCTTGTTGGTTTTGGGCTTGGGCCTTGGTTGTGAGTCTTGATGTGTCACACCCCCAAACCAAGGATGGCGGAAACATTCAGGGGTGGAGGACTTCATGTATAGTATCACAACAACAAGTATAATAGTGTGCATAGTAAATACAACCATGATAAATATAATTGAAAAAGTTACACCACAGTATGAGTTTACATGTTTCAAAATCAATTACATTATGATGACAAAAATGTATAATTTGACGTCTTGCGTCCCATCCTCAAAATCAGTTGATTTCCTGTTTCACTGGTTTCCTGAGAATACAAGTAGTTTTGAAAGAGTGTCAACAATTAAGTTGGTGAGTTCATAAGCTTTTGGGTGAAATGTTGGAAAAACCTTTATTGGTAAAATGTAATGTATACACAAGAAAATCC